CAAATTATATTCCAAAATAAATCTACAACATAAAACATACATATTACTGTCTTTATTAATTATGTTCACACAAGCGTGCATATGCACAAAAGCTGAGTATCATCTACCATGTATTCAAATGTGAAAACAGAATAACATATATCATATTTTTATTGCTTCAAATCTCCTGAGAACATTAATTTTCGGCATTAAATGACCCATAAGGAGTTGACATGCCGTTGAACAAACAAATCAAATCAAACTTTTAAATTTCACTTAGTTGTTGAGTTTTATTTGTTTGCGCCTTGTTTACAATTCGTGTTAAAAGGGGGCGAGGTCCTCTCTTTTCATATTCCATCGGAACAACAAAAAATTCTTATGTTTTGCACCAAATAAGTTTTTGTAGGAGAAATTATTTTATATATATATATATATATATATATATATATATATATATATATATATATATATATATATATATATATCTGTTCACGTCAATAGTAACTGGAAATAAGTTTCCTAAATGTTCTCGCATTTTAGTCAGTATTATAATTGTTTTCACTCGTCCTTTGTCAGAATAATTAAGTGTTCTCCTAAATACATCAGATTTTTGCTAGTTTTTTCCCCACCTGTCACTTTCATGTCCCATGACATTTTTATTCACTAACAAGGTCAGCATACTTCTCTAGATGTTTGCTTTTTTTTTTTTTTACAGTCTCCGGCACTGTGTTCTGTAACGGAGAAATCCTATATCCGACAGTTTTTTTTTTGTTTTTTTATTTTGTTTAAAAAAGAAACAACAACAATATACCGGACTGGTGTCGGATCTGAAGAGAAACTCACTAAAATCAAGTCCCCAAATCTTTCATTTATTTCTGTAAAAAAAAACTTCTTCACTCGACACAACTATTCTCAGCAGTACCTTGCAAGCTGTCACGGAGTTCTCTTGTGAAAAGGAATGGTGATGTTAACAACATTACCGTGGTTACCGGTGCATGACTGCCTACATCTGCTACTGGTTAGGTGTATTTATGATGAGTGTGTTTCTTACAGATGTCCAGGTACAAGTCGATTTACATATGTGCTTATTAACACAGTCAGCCTCTTATTTTTATTTTTTTTGTTTCTTAATAATTTCACCTCAAACAAGGCAATAAAGCAACTAAGTGTGTACTAAGTATTACTGGGGTACAAAGAGATTACTGAGTGTTAGAGAATATGTAAAAAATACTGTTAAGGAGAGAGAGAGGGTGAGAGAGAGGGAGAGAGAGCAATAAAAGAACAATAATTAAGAAGACAGAAGAAAAAAAATGACATTGCATTTAACTTTTTGAAGATCAAAATTAACTGGGAAGCAAGAAGCCGGAAGCGAGAAGTGTGAGAAAATAAACTGTTAGCATAGAATTTACAGTTACAGTTAGCCATTTTAAATGTAAACTGATGAGACCTTCCTGCTAATTTAGTACTACGCTTAAATTAATAAAGTTTAGGTACAACAGAGAAAAGTTCCTCAAGACAATTATCATGAATGTATTTCTAGAAAAGTCACAGGGAAGCTACATAGTCAACTGAATTCTTGAATCAAACAGATACCAAAGTTAAATTATGGATAGTATTAAAAATAAAACAATTCCATTTTCAATTTTGGCCACGATCAGTAGCTAGTTGGTTTCATTCAATGATCATTTTTTGCCATTTTTCTATCAGCGAATGAGGGCGAATGGGGGATTGTTTAACTTAATTCTACTAGTTAAAACCCAATTAATTCTTGAGTTCAATTTCAGACAATTCCAATTCACTTTATTGTAAAGAATGCTGTTTTTTTGTTTTTCCAACAATCTACTGGAGAAAAGCATTACCCAGGTATATATGTTTACTAGTATGCTAGTAAAATTACCGAGGTTATCTATTTAGGCTTTCAAATCAACTTCTCAATGTGATCTCACTTCAAATCAACTTCTCAATGTGATCTCTCAACTATCAGCTAAAAATTCATTTATTGCAGTACATATTTTTAAATCATCCCTTAACCATTTGAAATTCATCCTACATGGCAAATTACAACCACAGCGTTTTCATTCTAAACTGCTACCAATTGTACATTCACTTGTAAAATCCACTTACTAGGTAAAATTCACACGATACAATTCTGCCTCAACCAAATGGAATTTACCAAGTCATGTAAATTATAACCCATAATATATTTTCTTCGGAAAAAAATATTACAAAATGTCCACAACCGTCATAATAAAAAAAAAAGAATGTAAAAGAATAATTCCTGTCTCCAAAGAAAAGTTAAATATTATCTTCCTTTTTCTGGCTCGACTTTAGAAAAGATTTTTATCTTTTCCGATATTCAACTTGGAATTTTCAATTGCAGTTAATTCTACTAGATAAAATTTCAATTGCAATTAACACTACTAGTTGAAACCCAAATAAGTCATGAGTTCAAAACCACACAATTCCACTTCACTTTATTGTAAAGAATGTTTTTGGCTTTTCTAACAGCCTACGGAGAAAAAACATAATCCAGGATACTTTTAATATATTAGTAAAATCAAAATTAGCCAGCTTAGCTAAGTTTTTTCAAATCAACATCTCAAGTTCATTCCAATTCTAACCAGTTACCAGCTAAAAGTTAATATATTATAGTACACGTTTTTTGTCAAATTCTATTCAATTTTACTGTTTAGTTTCCTTTCTTTTTTCAATTTACTTTTTCCATGTTCATGCAGTTTTCTATAAACCTAATGCTCATGCAAATGTCTATACTTTTATTATTATTAGTTAGCTTTTTTTATTATTAGTCTTTCTTTAATGACTTTCAGTAATTGCATTTCTCAAATATTTGATTCTACCGTCGACGTTTGTAACGGACTATCAGTGCTTGTCTGAGTTGTACAGAAACCAGTTTTGCTCAATATTCAGTTCTTCAGACTCACTTCTTACTTGGCTTTCAGACATATTTATCAATAATTCTCTCTTATCTTTTTACGCACTTGTCAACACTTTTTCTTCAACTTTTCCCATAACATTTTTTAATTTCGCTACAATTATTGCAAATTCTAATACCATGACAAAGTGACCTGATTCCAATATGCACGATTGATCCCCAGCGGATTCTCTACTTTCTACTTCCTATAATTTATCGATCAACTCTCGAAAGCAAGCTGATCTCTTTTTTTATTCCAACAGCACGTGTACCTTCTACAAGGTAACATCAAGTAATTTCCTCGTCCATATACTGGCAGACACATCTAGAAGAGTCAAAATGATTCCTTGGTTTCAATTTTGATTCCACCTGGTAATAGGCAGGCGTGATTATTATTCCACAATGGACTTGATCGTTTTTGGTTTTGGTTTTTCTTCACCAGAGTTTGAGGAATGTTTATTACTGCAACCACCATGATCGTTCCGGCTACTTAAGTATTCCCAAATGCTATTCCCACATATGACCACACTCATTGATATGTAATGGCCAAGAGCTTGTTATCTGATAGCTCATTTTATAACTTCTAATTTATTTTAACGACAGTTCACTCTTTCAAGTGGGGGTAATTGATCTATTTCTCTCTTTCCTCTCAGTATCATTGATGAGTCTGTTGGGTGCCGTTAGGTATTTCTTTACCATTCTTCTTCTTCTTCTTCTTCTTCTTCTTCTTCTTCCTCTTCTATTTTATTTTTATTATTTTTTACTTCGAATTTTTTCCCATCCTGGGTATCTTTTTCTTTTTAACAACGATATTCAGCCTGTACGAAGCCCAAGAGACACTCGAGGTAGAGAATTACAGATAAGAAGCACAATTTATGGGAATATGTGGGGATGATGATGGTTTTCCCTAGACTTTAATAGGTTACAACTGTAGTGTTCGAGGAAGCATTCCCGTGGGAGTCAGATTCGCAAAATAGTTGTTCGTGGGAAGAACCTTCTGAAGTGGAACGTACAAGCTCACCAACAGAATCGAAAGGAATGAGGGCGGTTCGCTACAATGCCTAATCTTAGTCGTGAAGGTTGTTGTAGCTAAGAAATTTTGTTCGTTTGAACACTTTCCATGGAAATAGTGATAGAGGGCAACCATTTGTCTGTGGAAAAGGGGGTTTTAGGGTCGAAAATAATTCTTCACCCACACGGATACGTAAAGACTTTTAGAGGCTCTTGAGACTGGAAAGTGAAGACTGGGGAACTCCTGCCTATATATAGCAGCAGTACTACATTTCCGGCCTGATCTGGCTCTTATAAAGGTAATGGATAGTGGGAGGGATAGGTTACTTTGTAGAGCGGTACCCTGTACCGACCATTTTTTTCCCAGTATCTTTAGCGATGGATCGTATGTATATATGAACACACTTCCATCTAGCTTTCACCATTTTTTTTTGAATTACCCAAGCCATCTCTTCAGTCTGTCCAGATATCTGCAAATACATCAGTTGATAGTCATTTATAACTTTCAACCGATTCTATTTACACGCTACCGAGTTCTTTCTTTCCTCTATCAAACCTGATATCTGCTAACAATCTTCTTTCTGTTTTCCTTGGTATTCTTTCTGACCATTCAGTTATTTTTTTTCATTTTTTCTCTTCCTAATTCACGTAGATAGATTTGTTGCCGCATTAGTTTAACCTTCTTTCTCGCTTTCAAATTTCGCCATATTCAATGTCTATATGTGCTCAGATTTTCACAAGTATTTCTTAATTAACTTATTAGAAAATCATTTTTATTTCTTAAACTATATTCTATATTCAACCCTATATCCTTTTCATTGATTCTTTTTTACGGTTTATCAACCCTTTGCAGGTTACTTAAAGCCAAAATATTGCGATTGTGAGAATATTTTTGGAGATAATAATGACTTAGTGATACATGTCCTACTAATTAACCCATAACTGGGAAAGAAAAAGGTGGATTCATATCTTTTTCCAAACGTATTTGCGCATAAGTGAATATAGCGAACTCTACGGAAATGGAACTCGGTTTTCCGATGAACAATTCCAAACTATTATTCATTGCACCACCTGAATATCACCTGGTATTCCCAAGCGGTCACCCATCAGGGTTCTGACTAGGCTCGACGTTACTTAACTTCAGTGATCGTAAGGAAACCAGCATTTCAACGTGATAAGGCCGTAAGACGCTATACTGCTATAATATTCGTTTTTGCTCCTTCAATGTTGAACTGCTGGAAGCAGACGGTTAGCGCGCAGGAGTTTTAGTCCCTACAGATACCCAATCCGGTCATACAATATGGGTCAATCGTACTCTCCGTTTGGCAAGGAATCACCCCAACTCTGTAACGTTTATTGATTCGCGTCTGAAGTCGTATTATACATATTATCTTCATGGCTACCTATCTTTTCTAGATCGCTAAACCTCACTTATACCTACTGTTCTTGGGAATATCATCACTAAACCTAATTCTCAAATGTATTTCTTCTGATACGATCCTTAGTAAATGTGAAATTAATCTGTTTCCTCCTGTTTCGTAGCCAATCACTGCCTCATTCAAAAGGTCGCCACAACTTCTCTGTATGCACCGCCGCTTCATAGATAGGGCTATAATTCCCATTACCTTCACTTCACGACCAATTTTCCTGGGTTATCTTTAAATCTAAATGAATCAACTGCTTATATACCAAACAGATATTTTTCTCATGCATCAGTATCAACTAAAGGAGGGCGATATCGCCCACCAGTGGGCGATTTCAAATGTTGGTTAGGCGAATAGCAACTGAACAGTAAATGATGGTGATTTGGAATTTTGGTGGGCGATATAGGAGTTTCCGTATTAAAAAAGTATTCCAATATATGTTACTCTAAAAATATGTAAAGAACCTGTAAAGAGGACGCTAAATTGGGATAACTGGGTCACATTTATATCTTGATAAGGTATAAATATCCCAGTAAATAGGGACTGTCTTCAGTATCTGTCTATATTTCTGAGATGAGGTATTACGTATGCTATTTATATTATTCGGACTATTGTCCTCGTCTTTGTTGCGATATTTATCACAACATTTCGGTCGTTGTAGTCTCCGGACTTCTTCACGTGGTTGGAATGTCGAACTGAACTCTTTATTTTGCTCGCTGAGGTAGACTGTTCTAGTTCCACGTGCCATGTCTAATCGATGTCAGTTATACACTGTGCCATGTGTCCTTAAAAACACATGGCAAAGTGGATAAAGGGGTTGTTTAGATCCATTTTACAGGACCCAAAGAGTTGTGAGTTCAATACCTGGTTAAGGCAGTGGAAAACTTAGAGAGGGGAATTAACAGGAGAATTAACAGACTTTTTTGGATATAAAACAGAGAAAAAAATATAAATGGCATTAAGCGAGATTTCTCTTAAATTAAAAAGTATTGCGTGCGCCATTCCGCTTATAAGGCGTTGGTTGTCCACAATATCAACAGTGATAAACATTCATGTGAAACTGGGTACCATTCCTTCTTGTAACATTTAAACGTGTCACAAACCTTTTTTAATTTAAGACAAATCTCGCTTAATGCCATTTATATTTTTTTCAGTTGGGAGATCTTGTTTGACGGGAGTCTCAAAAGTGAACACTGGAAAGTAAGCTGGAATCCGAACTCGGTTTACCGCTTCACTCTCCGCACTGATATCAGTAGATTACATTTGCACATGATCTAAAGATACCTCTTTTTTAAACGTTGACTTCAGTTAGGAATTGTCCGCTAGCTGTTATTTTTACATTACTATTTCTCATTGCCTTCATTTCGCTTCTTTTTTTTTTTCTTTTTTTCGATTTTTACAATTTCTGTACATTCTATTATACTAAATTTCTGGATCAGGTTGCGGACATATTTTTAATCTATCAATGCCAATAATCATTTTTTTTTCTTTCTTATTTTAACTTCTTTCAGTAAATTCCGATCGATGAATGCTAGATCATTTTTTATTCGGCTTTCCTTTTGGCATTTCTTTCTTTTCTTACATAAAGGAGTCATCGGCTTCATAACAAGTAAAAGATGTCGGTTTAATATGTCCAATTTGGATTTTCCAACTCATTGGTCTTCGTTATATGGGAAGTTTTGTTTTGTTCTTTTTGTTTTTTGTTATCTTGTTATAAATTATCTGCCTCCTATTTCATGTACGTTTGTGAATCACTTCAAAAATAAAACATGACTTCTATTGTTGGCTGGTTGTTTCCATTCAGCCATTCATTTGGGCTTTATTTCAGCTTCCAGGATATGTTCGATCGCCTGCAATTTTTTTTTTCATGTTGGTTAGCCGCTCTACCTTTTCGTATTTTCCGTTTCTGTCTTCTTGAATCTTGCTCAAAAATGTTTTGTCTCTGACACATCAGGTATGTTCAACTCTCTCCTCTGTATCACCATTCATTTGCCAGTAAAATCAGCTTTCGTTATTCACGAATATTCTATTTTGCCTCCATTACTGGACCCTCTGTCAGCATCTTTTGAGTCTGTCTTCCTAATTAAGATCATGGGATTTATTTCTTCTATTGTAGCTTCTTTTTCGTGATGTTTTTTTTTCCGCTTCATTATAAAGTTTGGTTCACAGACAATTTGTTTTCATTCTTTGTAATTTGACTTCTCTCGAAATTTCGTTCATTTCTCTATTATTCTTTCTCTCTCGTTGATCATTTACATCAGTATTACTTGGTGGCTTATATTTGGGACTGATTGCTAACAAGTGTCTTTAGCGCACCAGCATCCCTTTAAGTATTCGAAATATGTCCGGGTGGTTTCAGCGTTTTCTCTGATTTCCATTTCTAACTAGGCTGTTTGTGAGCGATCGCAGTTCTCTGATAACAACTGGTACGACAATCACTTTTATTATTATTATTATTATTGAGTGATGCTTGCATACAAATATTCGCAACCCAATATACTTATGACACCCAGTCTGATAAATATATATCAGGTAGATATAACACAGCCCAAAGAGTCGGTCGCCAGGGCTCCAATAATCATAGGTATAAAAGCAATTTTAATGTGTCACATTTTTTCGCTTCAAAAATCCTAAACGTTACCTATTTTGCAATCTATTTTAACAGGTATAGCTTTAGCTAATTGCACAGACATATCGATGAGAAGCCATTTTTGTAGTCGTTAATCGATATTTGTCATTATTATTATTATTATTGTTGTTGTTGTTGTTGCTATTGTTGTTGTTGAGTTAGAGAGCCAAGAAGGTGACTCTGGGCTACAAATATACGGATCCCAATCTACCCATCATGGCACCTAGTCTGATAAGAGCATACCAAACACATGCATCAAAGTCAAATTTGCGCGATAAGGTTGCAGATTTTCTTAAAACTAGCATAAATCCTTGGAGCAATAACCTTAGGTCAAGTAACCTCGTGCACTCCGACTGTCTTCGATTGAACGTATTTTAAATATCTAGATGCGACTCCCAAGTCGTTTTGAAACTTAAAAAAAAAAAAAAAAAAAAAAAACAGTAAACCAACTTGATTCTAATCGCCTATATTTATTCCCCAGGGTGACAAACATTAAAACCTGGATTTAAAATAAAAACTAATTGTAAGAAAAGTATGTTTCTTAAAACCAATAGTTTCTTAAATCCGATTCATCCCTAATTTTTGTAACGAAGAAAAAAATCTGTAGATCTGAACATTTAGTGGCCATCGTTTTGTTAAATACAAGTCTGTCAGCATGTAAGGGACATAAAACTTTATAAAATACTAAGTAAAGAAATCATACATACCTTTCTTTGCTCATATTGAATAGATTTTTAGAAATAGTTCTACAGATATTATTTACCCTGTGATTTATTTTGTATCGTAATCGAGTTTCAGAAAAAGCAGTGATGCATATAAAAAGAAAACATGCAACAAGTCTTTGGGTAAAATCGAAAATTCAACAAAGCAAATACAAGCTATAAAAAGAAACGAAAAAAAACAGTATACACTATTATTAAAACAAGATTTGCAAAAGAACTTTTTATCTAAAATATACCCAACAAATAGATGATGATAGATACAGAGCGGAAAACGTGTCGATATGAATCAGTATCCGTCTGAAAAGATTAAAATGTAACTACTTACACTCGTACTAGAATCGTCCTTCTAAGAATGATTTTTACGTACACTCACACGAGGGACAATGAGAGAAGTCGTTTAAATAAGCAAGCGACTTTGACTACTCATTAAATAACAGAAACATTGACATAGGTATCTCTGTCTGTCTGTCTGTCTGTCTGTCTGTCTCTCTCTCTCTCTTTCTCTTTCTCTTTCTCTAGCATGTACGTAATAACTTAACATGAATTCCATGAATGATTTGTGCTCGTATTTATCAGTAAAAATAAAAACCTAAGTTCATTATGGGCCATGAGATTTACAATTGGTTTTTTGAATCCAATATTCTTTCAGTGGAGGTACGTTCAATCGAGGTTTTACTGCATCTATTCGCTGACAACTTCAATCAATAACGATCACAAGTCATTTGTTCTATGCCTCTTATTGCACCAGGGAAATCTTAAAAGCAATTGAGTTCAACAATAAATTATTGGAACGAAAATAATTCACCGTGTCAACATTTGCCGTTGTCTTCTCACATGAGATAGAAAAAAGGGTCATTTTGGAACAAATTAGTTCGTCTAAGAAAAAAAAGGATTCATTAGAAGACTCCGAAAGGCGGGATGTCATAGCGATAACCAAAATAGCTCGCATTACTTTTGCCTAAACGAGACATAATGAAAAGAAAATCCATCCTTTCTATTTATGGGATTCAAAGAACATTCTCTTATAAGTCGTTGGAAATTAGCTATTGGCTCGACCGACTGATGCATATATATATATATATATATATATATATGTATGCATGTATGTATGTATAGATAGATAGATAGATAGATGAAGGATTAAGTAATTTGCAGAAAGTACACACACACACACGCACATATATATATGTGTGTGTGTGTGTGTGTGTGTGTGTGTGTGTGTGTGTGTGTGTGTGTGTGTGCGTACATTTTGCAAATTACTCAACCGTTGATCTTTTCCTGCTTTGCTTATTTTAACGATAGTTTTATATAATGCAAGAAATGATATGAAAAATTCTTACACATATAGCGTATTATCGAATCGTTTCACCTTCAAACTATCTGTTGATACCAGTGTTCACTTTTATATCTG